TCTGAAGGAGCTGGGGGTGGTGACGGCCGACAGGGAGCTCTGGCATGGGATGGGCCGTGAGGTCACGAAGAGTCGGAGACGACTGAACGAATGAACAACAACAAACTGCTTTGAGTACCCCCAGGGGTGAGAAAGGCGGGATATAAATACTGTAAATAAATAATAATAATAAATAATATCATGCAAGCTGTACTTTCGAAACAAGCCTACATGCCTTTGCTCCAAGTGCAGGGGATACATGTCAACTGGCAGACGATGCCTTGAGATGGATCGTGTTTAGGATACGCAGGGCTGTAAAGAATACCAGATGATATTCGCTTGATGCCCTTTGCAGATGCGCAGCTGCAAGAGGCCACTGATAATGCAAGCGCTCCAAACACAGAACTTTTAATGTCAATGCATAGAGCTGAATTATAATGAGATCAGTCGGGTTCGTCATAAATAGACAAACAGCTGTAGAAATACAGCTAAATGTCTCACAGGGTAAGTTTCCAGATCCCAACCGGGAATCTAATGCTGGGTATAATGCTTTGATATCTTTTCTTTTTTCAACTGATAAAAGAACGCCAGCAGGAAAAGCATCTCATGGACCAAGCTAAAAAAAGAAAGACGAAAATGACAAAGCCTGAAGCAACTAATTACCAGCTACCTCTATCCTTTCTGCTTAGATGTGAGACTCAGCCCTGAAGAAAGACGGCGGATGAAGATGCCATGCCTGTCTCTTCAAAGGGCACCCTCTGGACCGGCTTCTCCTCCTGCTTCCTTCTCCTCCCAGGATATCTGTTCAAAGCCTCCAGTTTATCCATGTGTGGGGCTGCCAGATTCTTGTCAAATGTGGTTTTGGAACAACTAAGTAAGACCGTTACCGTGGGCAGGGACCTGAATCACAACATACTGTGCATTTTGGGAAGAAATGAATCTATAAAAAGGGAGGGGATTTCTTCAAAGCGCAGAGAAGAGGAAAGAGTGATTCAGGAAGGTGTGTGCAGAGAGAGAAAGTGATAGTTAAGTTGGAGTTATTTATAGTGATATCTGCATATTTCTCCATTATTTCCTCAGTGGCTTCAGATAGGGCTAGTTTCAAGGAACAGATACAATCCTCTAGGAATGGTAATTTAATTTTTAAATGTACTGCAGGAGCTCCTGTACAATGAAGTGTGTCAATTCTTCAAAATGAGAACTGGACCTCCAGCCACTTCCTTTCTTTTATTTTTGTTTTGATGCCAGTTTTTGGCCATCCATGTGACTACCAGAAAGTCACAGCAAATTAGCCCTGAAAATGGTCTCAGCTGCCCAGTCACAGAATCCTAGAGTTGGAAGAGACCTCATGGGCCATCCAGTCCAACCCCCTGTCAAGAAGCAGGGAAATCGCATTCAAAGCACCCTCAACAGATGGCCATCCAACCTCTGTTTAAAACCCTCCAAAGAAGGAGCCTCCACCACACTCCGGGGCATAGAGTTCCACTGCTAAACGGCTCTCACAGTCAGGAAGTTCTTCCTCATGTTCAGGTGGAATCTCCTTTCCTGTAGTTTGAAGCCAATGTCCCACGTCCTAGTCTCCAGGATAGCAGAAAACAAGCTTGCTCCTCCTCCCTATGACTTCCCCTCACATATTTATACATGGCCCTCACCATGTCTTCTCTCAGCCTTCTCTTCTGCAGGCTAAACATGCCCAGCTCTTTAAGCCGCTCCTCATAGCGCTTGTTCTCCATACCCTTGATCATTTTAGTTGCCCTCCTCTGGACACTTTCCAGCTTGTCAACATCTCCCTTCAACTGTGGTGCCCAGAATTGGACCCAGTATTCCAGGTGTGGTCTGACCAAGGCAGAATAGAGGGGTAGCATGACTTCCTTGGATCAAGACAATATCCTCTTTATGCAGGCCAAAATCCCACTGGATTTTTTTTTTGCAACCGCACAACATTGTTGGCTCATGTTTAACTTGTTGTCCACAAGGACTTCAAGATCTTTTTCACATGTACTACTTTCAAGCCAGGCATCGTCCCCCATTCTGTATCTTTTTCATTTCATTTTCCACCAGTCTCAGTAGAAAGGAACATCTTAGCAATATGAACTAGAAATTATGTTCTCCCCTAGTCAGCCCTTCAGTGCGGCATCATAATTCTTGCCCAGAAAACATAGCATAGAGTCCCTATACATCGGAGTTAACTTGTAACAAAATAATTCTTCTTTTAAGGACATATATTCCTGGATAGCAGGCAGACTATCCCTCAACAGACTGGTATGACTCTTTAAAAAATAAGATGTTATGTTTGTAATGTAAACAACATGTGGGATCTTTCTACTGTGGTAACTGGACAAAACATTTTGAGCCAAATATGCAATATGATACATTAAAAAAACAACACAGTTTTCAAATGAAACCTAGATTGTGTTTATTGGGAATATTGGACATCAAATGGGGGGAAAGCATGAAAAAGTAAAATGACATATGGCCCTGAAAACTAGTGTATCTATGGAAGTGGAAGAGTACAACAACACCGATTTGTGAAGAATGGTTTCTGAAACTGTTAGACTTGGCAGAAATGGGTAAGTTGAGAACTTTGATCACAGAGAAATCATTCATAGCTTTTTTTAAGGACTGGAAAACATTAATTTATATTTTCTTTCAGAAAAACGAATATAGCATACTGGTTGTGGTTTTTATTACCGGTAGAATTAGGTTGTTGGAGCACTAGAAGTGCATGAAGTCTAACCGCCTTTATAGAAGAGATTTCCTTTAGTTTTGTTTAATCATTTTGTGGAGAGGTGGAAGTCTTCCATTCTTCCCCATATATTATGTTTTTTTCCTATATAATTTACTAGCCATCCCCTGCCATGCGTTGCTGTGGCCCAATCTGTGTATATGTGTTTTGTATGTGTGTATATGTTTGTGTATATATTTGTGCATATGTGTATTTATGTGGTTATGCGCATAGGTTGTAATGTATTTTTATCTTTTGGCTTTTTAAGTCTCTTCTGCTGTGTTTTTCAGTGTTTTTATGAGTGATGGCCACTTGTTGGCCTGATAGGTGTATTGTGTCCAAATTTGGTATCAATTCACCCAGTGGTTTTTGAGCTATGTTAATCCCACAAACGAACATGACATTTTTATTTATATAGATTAATAACTGTAATAGAGAAGGGAGATGAATTATGTATCAAAATCAGGATTCTGACTCCCTCAGAGCTTTCATCAAGAGGTGGCATTAATTTCCATTATTTACACTCTATATATTTCTAAACACTCCTTACTGTGTCCTTTTTCTCTTGTCAGGTCATTATGACTACAAAGGCCATGATATCATCTGTTACACTTAAGGGGGAAAGTTGTCAGAATATAATACTTCCTCTTTAGAAAACTACCAGTTGAACACTTTTGAGATTTGGTGACAGGTTACTAAAAAGTCCCTGAAAGCAGATCTCGGTGTTGTTTCCCAAGATTTATAAGGGGAGTAATGTTAATATCCCTTATAGACTGCAATTTTATATGTAATTTAAATTACTGTACATTAATTAATGTTCTGCCTGCAGTAACTTAGGTGTTGTGGTTCAGCAGCAACAGCATGATGGGACTGAGGGTGCAGATGAGCATGATGGGAATGGGAATACAGATGCAGGTGTGGGATTTCAGATTTCTCAGTTTTCTCAGCCACAGTCTATAGCTAGAGAGAAACCATTGTTATCACAGGAACGGAATGTGGCTGATAAAACAGCTAGTGAAGGTTAGACTGTGCCGCAGGTGTTAAGAAGGAGTTTACGAATTGCGGCCAAGTCTTGAGCCCATCCGTTGGTGGGAAAACTGCTTGTTAGCTGTCTGTTTAATGTTCAATGTTTTGATGTTTTACCTATAAGTAAACTGCCTGGGAACTGATTCGGCGTCAGTTTCAACGTTGCAAAAATGGCTCGCGTTGTCTCCTGCTCTGGGCCTTGGACCTTGAGAAAGAAAGCCTGCTTCATGTAACCTCATGCTATTTCCTGGATTTTATGCTGCTTCTTGCTTCAAGTTTCCTGCTTTGACTCAAAGGGAATCTATTGGATTTTTACCTTGTACTATTGACTTTTTACTGCTTATATTCTGATTTGTTTGAAACCTCACAATAAACTTCTTTCTTCATAAGTTTGGCTGGTTTGTCAGAGAGAGCAAGGTGAATTTTAGCCTGAGATACAACATTAGGGGTCTAAGTTACTGCTTAAAAGTACCAAATCCTGGCTGATCCAGGAAGTTAAGCATGGTCAGCTCTGGTTAGTTCTCAGCTGCTGGTGGCACAGTGGGTTAAACCCTTGTGCCTGCAGGACTACTGTCCAAAAGGTTAGCGGTTCAAATCTGGGGGTGGGGTGAGCTCCCGTCTGTCAGCTCCAGCTTCTCATGCAGGGACATGAGAGAAGCCTCCCACATGATGGTAAAACATCCAGGCACCCCTTGGACAACATCCTTGCAAATAGCCAAAACTCTCATACCAGAAGCGACTTGGAGTTTCTTTAAAAAAGTTCTCAGGTGGGAGACCACCAAAGAATACAGGTGCTGTTGAACTGTCAAGACCACCTTTGAGTACCCCTTGCTAAGAAAATGATATGAAATTCATGGGAACATCATAAATTGGCAGGGGACTTGAAGGCACGCAGTCCCTCACACACCCTAATTATTACTAATGTATATGCAACAACTTTTTCTAAAAAGCCCTGGAAAAGACCATATCAATATTTTCTCATCTAATATAGCTTTTGGAGACTTTATACCTGTATGAGCTCTGGGAATCATTAAGCAAAATATGGCATCTCTTTTAAGATTGTCTCTCAGTAGAGAAGAGGTACAAAATAGGACCTGGTAGGCATCGGAGGGCAACGAGAAGAAGCCCAAGTGCAAAGGAAAAGCAAAAATGAACCCACTCTACTAGGATTTAGGATAAGGCTTGCATTCACTGAAGAATTAGGAAGCAGTGCCCCTCTGTGGAAAGAGTGGCAACAACTCCATGAGTTACTACTGACTTTGCTTCTTACCTCTTTCAAGTTTTCATAGTGGGGATTCGAGAAGCCCAGTGCAGCCCGGAACATTTCCGTGACGGCGTGATATACAAACTCGTACTGTTCCTGCCAATAACACAGGTAAAGGACAGAAGAGGTCAGCTTCTAGGAATAGACACTTGACATCAATCACACTTGCGCATCCCAGCACATTGTAACACCACAGAAAAGTGTATAAAGTATGATCTTCATGTGATTGTCTATCTTTTTATAAGTGGTTTATAGTCCCAGGCTGGGATATACATAAAGTGATGAAGAGATGGACAGATGGCTCTCCAGAGACGCAGCATCCGGCATTCCTCACTATTCGCTATGCTGGGAGATGCAATCCACATGAGACATCCTGGAAGCTGTGATTTATGTGAGATGCTTTTCTACTGCCACTATCACATTTCTGCAGTTCTTTGAGTGGGCACAAAGAAGAACATAAAGCAAACATTATGAGAAGTGATGGGCCAAAGTCTGAGGCCCCTTCTACACTGCCATATAATCCAGATCATCAAAGTAGATAATCCACATTATATGCTTCAAACTGGATTATATGAGTCTACACTGCCAAATTTCAAATCTGATTTTATCTGATTTTATATGGCAGTGTAGAAGGGACCTAAGGCTGGATCTACGCTGTCCTGTACCCCAGATTATGTGCTTATCCCAGATTATCTAACAGTGTAGACTAATATCCAATTCAAACCAGGATCTGGTTTGAAATGGATTACATCAAAACCTGTATCCCAGATCTGGGATCAGATCCTGGGATACAGGGCAGAGTAGATCCAGTCTATGTTAACCTCCTGCCTCCAAAAATGAAGTACATTGCTCTCCACTGCCAGTGTTCAAAACACATTCAAACGCTAGTCTGGACAATTTCTGTCCATGGAATCGGAGAAACTGCTATGTTGTTTTCCACCTCTCCACAAGACAGCATAATGTCTTGTGGCCTGTCTACCATGGCCCTGAGGTATGGCTACAGAAATATAATATTCCATGGCGACCTGTTCAGGTATCTCTTGTAGCTTGAGGGTTCATTATCTCATCTCCTGCCACAGGTTGGTTGTAGAGAGAAGCAGTGCACCTGTGGAACTCACCTGGGTTTGAACAGCAGCCGGCCTCTGCTTCCTCATTTCCAGGACAACGTCAAAAATGCTGAAATGTGGTGGGATTCTCTGAAAAACAGAGGGGAACCTCGTAATTGACCTTTATCTGCCACAACATCAAAGGGCCATCAGAACCAGGTACTTTGATTTGTGACTCAGTTTTTCTACTCTCCATTTATTCACTGAAGCCGCCAGTGGTGCAATGGGTTTAACCCTAGTGCTGGCAGAACTACTGACCAATAGGTTCAAATCTGGGGAGATCAGGTTGAGCTCCCTCTGTCAGCTCCAGCTCCCCATGTGAGGACATGAGCGAAGTGTCTCACAAGGATGGGAAAACATCAAACATCCAGGCGTCCCCTGGGCAAGGTCCTTGCAGATGGCCAATTCTCTTACACAAGAAGCGACTTGCAGTTTCTTAAGTCGCTCCTGACACGAAAAGAAAAATCACTGCCCTCTCTAACTATAAGCAGAAAGAAATAGGAGAAGCAGGATTTTTTTTCAGAGAACATACATATAATATCCTGAAGACAACCAAGTGATACTGGCTCAAATTACATTTGATGCGAATCACATGCATTTTGCCCTCACAAATAGCCAACACAACAGTCCTGACCCAGACTGGGCCTTTGCCAACCTGCTATTGCCCTTTCATGGGTCCAATGGTCATGATATTTAGGCCAATCAGAGTTTTAGTCTGACCCATGTAGAGGGCATCAGACTGCACAATGCTATGCCAGACTCTACGTTGGGGTGGCGTAAGTGTGGCCAGTTGGACACATGAAAGCCACAAGACAGTTTTGTAGCCACCCCATGACCTATCAGGGTCCAAATCCCTTTTGTGAAGGCCACTGGATATTCAGAACAAAAGTATTATCTAGTCTAGGGAATGCCGGAAACAATTTCGCCATGTTTTATGACCACTTGTCATTTTGGATTTAGAAGAAGCCTTTTTTCCTGACAGGAGATGAACTAGATTTTGAGTTTTGGTTTGCTTTCTGTTGCAAAGAAAGAAAGAAAGAAAGAAAGAAAGAAAGAAAGAAAGAAAGAAAGAAAGAAAGAAAGAAAGAGAGAACTCTTTTGTATAAAAAAGGCCTAAAATGGCCCAGAGAAGGATGAATACATGGCAAAATTTCCCAGGCTCCCTTTTTTATATTTAGGGGCAAAAAGATAAGATTTTGAGGGCTTTTTGTCAAGGCTATATGGCTTGGGTGCAACCTTCCCAATGTCTGGGGGGAGGAGAGGAGAGAGAGTTACCTAGCTCTGGTCTATATGGAACATAACAGAGGATGACAGTGAGACAAGCAAGTCCAATTTACTCCAAAATCAATTATTGATATCCTCTTTAATGCAGACCTAGTTTCCTTGTGTTACGAATACCTGTTTCAGCAGCAGCCTCCTTATGTATTCCAGCGTACAGATCACACCTGTTCGGCCACAGCCAGCACTACAAGGGAAAAAGAGGGAAGGAAAAGATGGTGAGAGATGGTCTATCTATGCAATAATTGAATAGTTTGCAATGTGGTTGGACATGCAATTGCCAGGCACAGAAGGACATTTCTTCCTCTGTTTTGCCCATGTTGTTGCTCATTCATCCAGTTTGGAGAGATGTTTTTGAGGCTTCTCCCAGTTGGCTATGTCTGTTATCCCTTGTAATATGGTATAATTTACGTGACCACTCACTTCCCTCCTCAGCTCCAGATCTATATACACACACTTTAAAAAGTACTTAGAATTTCTTCAATTCTAAGATGACACCGATTGTAAAGCGCAAACTAATTTCAGTATCAGCAACAGTGCGTGTGTATGTACCTAAATCTCATGCAATTCTGACACGCCCACATTTTTAGAGATGTTTATATTGGCGGTGGGGGGGTGTCTTAGAATTGCAGAAATATAGTACAGGCAGTCCCCAAGTTGCAAACATCTGACTTACAAAACACTCCTAGTTAAGAATGGAGTGAGACAACAGGAAGTGAAAGGAAATCTACCCCTCAGGAAGGAAATTCACTCCTGAAAGATTTATGGTAGGGAAAAGGTGTCTCCATTGAAGCTTTATCACCAATTCTTGTATGCACAATAAGACAATTTTTTCAAAATCCAATTGCCACAGGGACAGAAAAGGAGATGTAATCGAGCTTCCGAACAGGGGCACACACACACACACATATGTAATACACACACACACAAGATGGGAGAATTCAAAATGACTGTTGGTTTTCCTGATGGATCTATGGACTGCAATAGATATTCTTGTTGTTGCTGTTACACACACATATATACACACACACACAAACCCTAGGGGTGTTAAACTTTCTCTATGTTATCCAAAGCTACACACACACACTTAAGTTACACTTAAAAATTTACCTGTTCCATAACTTGGGGACTGCCTGTATCCCTCTTGGTAGAAATAGAGAACCTCTTTTCATACATCCTATCTTGTTGCGTGTTGTCTATTTATTCTCACCTTTTTGCTGCCTTTAACCACTTACTAGCCCTTTTAAAAATTTGTTTTCTTACCACACAACTGCTAGGTTTATATAGTAGCTGAGTGCAGTGGCTTCTCTATAGCAATTGGATGCAACATTTTTCCTCTTTGGTACCATATTATCTTGGAGGTGATCCAAAGTAGACATATTTGGAGTATCATGGACGCCACTTTGCACTTTGGGACTGTATCTTTCCGTAAGAGACCGGAAAAGGTTTGACGTGAAAATGTGGCTGCAGTTTCAACCCCACTCCCCAGTTTCACTCCTCTAAGATATCATAAGTGTGTGTAGTGTGGTTTACAGGTAAAAGCTTTGAAGCTTTCAGAAATACAATTTTTATTTAGCTTGAGTGGGGAAGGGTGAAATGAAAGTCTCCAGGAGGAAAAGAAAGGGATGGGGCTGCATGCAGACCGTGGGCATAAGTTGCTCACTCCTGCAGTTTTCTGTTGAGGGCTGTAAATAGGCAATGAAGGTTGTTTAACATTCACTCCAACATTTCAGAGAAGAAAACCAAAACATAAGTTTGGGCAAGCAACATCAGCATGGTGGAGATGCCAAAGCTATCAATAAGGAAGAATAGGCAAACAAGGGGAGGGTGCAGTGGTTTGCTTTTGCCTAAGTCCACTTTGAAGGGAAAGAGTTCACTTTAACATATCTTCTCCTCCTGCTGAGTTAAATGGGTGAAAACTACTTTGGCACTTTGAACCTGGTTTGTACCAACTGAATTAAACTGAGGATGAATGGGATGGGGAAAAGGAATGGGAGGAGAAGAAACATTTTCAAATCAACACAGGAAATGGGATAATAAAGGGTTCATTGGGATTTCCCTACCAAACTGGAACAGTTGGTGAGCATGGGTTTAATAATAAGACAGCATTGGAGAAGGCTACAGCCCAAAATAATCAAAGCTACTCTTTTTCTGGGTTGTTGTAGGTTTTTCCGGGCTATATGGCCATGTTCTGGAGGCAATTTTTCTCCTGACGTTTCGCCTGCATCTAAGGCAAGCATCCTCAGAGGTAGTGAGGTCTGTTGGAAGTAGGAAAAATGTTGGAAGTAGGAAAAAGTACTCTTTTTCTTTCCCCTTTCGTGCCACTATTTTCTCCTTTTTCCCCCCCCCCCCCCCCCATTCCCCTGGTGAGCTCTTACAAAGGCCTCTAAAGAGGCACATGGAGTCAGATTGATGGCTAAACATCACAGATCCTTCATCCTTAGGGTGTTTCCCTAAAAACTCCCCCCTACCTGCAGTGTACACAGATGGGTACGGTGTCCTCTCCTTGTTTATTCCTCACTTGCTCAATCATTTCAAGGAAGCAGCCATATGTGTCTGGGATGCCTCGGTCTGGCCAAGCCACATACTGAAAATGGGAAATGACTCGTTCCTCCTGGGAAGGGAAGAGGCAGCAATCAAAATACTTCCATCCGTTATGGTATCTGGGACACATTGACTTTTAAAGAGCACCTGTATGGTGCAACATAGGCCCCTTCTACACTGCCATATAATCCAGATTATCAAAGCAGATAATCCACATTATCAGCTTTGAACTGGATTATCTGAGTCTACACTACCATATAATCAACTTAAAAGCAGATAGTCTGGATTTTATATGGCAGTGTAGAAGGGGCTTTAGTTATGATCCCTTCTGATGCTGGTTGGGCCATAGTGTTGCATCCCAAGCCTGGAGCCACCTATGACCACAGCACCACACGTCTAGAGTATAAGAAAAGGGTTTATTATTTTAAAAAACACATAAAATATATGGAAAAAGCAGGAATAAAGAATCAAGAGGAATAATCCAAAATAGATTTAGTACTAGGTGATAATCACACAGGATTTCAAATGTCTCATGAAAATCCAAAGGCCATGCAGTCCAAGAATAGCCAAAAATCAGAATTAAAGCATAAATCCATAAGCAACAGATCTCCTTAGAAAACTTGAGCAAGAATCATGAAACAAGAATACAAAAACCTTCCAAGATACGTAATCCAAAAACGGACTTGACTTGACTCAAGATCTCAGGCCTAGGCTCTCCCTCAAATACCAACATTGCCTGAACTGAATACACGCTGGCTGTTAATAAGCAGACATGAAGTCATGGCGTTCCCCATGGACTTTATCTGTTTCCAATGTAACCTTGTTGTTCTACGGAGCTGACTATCTGCCCTAATCTGCAAATGTACATCCTTGCTTAGCTCCATGCCACCAAGTGTTTTCTCTTGAGAATTTTCTGTTAATTCATCATCACTCGACTCCTTATCTAAGAATGTTGTTTCTGGCTCCTGTGACTGTCCTTGGAGCTCAGAGGCAATTGCGTTCTCTTGGCCTGCATCATTCTCTTTGCCTGTATCACTTTGAATCCCAGGAAAGTCCACAATCCCTTCTGAAGCTAAATCATCAGTGATCCCATCATCCCCTGGCTGTTGTGACTGCTGAGCTACAACACATAGCAATTAAGAATTTGCAAATGGGTACACTTACCTGCTGATATTTCAGTGAGAGCATCCGCAGAATGACATCTGGATTGAGCTCTTCTTCTTTGACCTGAGACCAACAGAAGAAACAAAATTATTTATTTAAAACATTTATATGCCACCCTTCTCACCCTGAAGGGGACTCAGAGCGGTTTACAAGATATATATACACGGTACATACAATATATTATATTATTAGCATAGTACAATATCAGTATTATATATTACTATATTGTACTATACCATTATATTTTAATATTATTAGTAATATTACATGTAATATAAAATATATTATTATAATATATTATTATTAGTATTGTATTATATTACATCACATCACATCACATTATATTATAGTATTAATACACTACAGGTATACCTTTCATCACAAAAAAAATGCCTTTTTTCAAGTGACTGTACAAACAAAATATACTAGAGGACTACATTGGTCAAAACTATTTTTAGATTTGAGATATGAGGAAATATCTAAGCCTTTCAATTATACTAGTTACATGAGCAAACTGATATCCCAGTGCTCTGTTACAATACAGTTTTGGTTTATATCAGGGATGGGGAATCTCCAGATGTGATTGGACTGCAACATCTATAATATTTTTACTAAGCTAATGTTTGATCCAGAGAAGTAGGAAAAGAACTCCAAACACTTTGGAAAATGCTCTCTATTCCGCCCAGAGAATATTTTGGAGCAAAATACAAAATGTTTCAAAATAATGGATCCCATTTCAAAGCAGTATATTTCATGACAGCAAAACGTTACAATTACACAAAATGTTACAAATGGTTCAATAAGTTATCAAGTTTTGCTAACCGTTCTGAGTCAGAAACAAATCTTAAAAAATAACTCTACATATGGAGGAAATCTCATTAAACATTATGTTGTGGGGTTGCTATCTTGTAAATGATTGGGGCTCAGGGCTGTTAGTGTGCTGGGAGAAGCATCTAGTAGTAATCATCTGAAACTCTATGCCCCAGACTTCCAAGCAGTAAGAGTTAATTCATGGGTGGTTCATGGTTGCTGAAATATAGTGATTTCAAATTGGGTCCATCTTTTTGAAACACCCTAGATATATAGGTCTTCGCCTATTACTAATACAGACCCACACAACTTCCCCTATTTCTGGAGCCTTTTGTGTGTGTGTGGGGAACTGGCTATGGGAACTGTTATGGTGAATGTTTACACTTTGACATTTACCAAAGTCTAACTGCCCCTGTAGCATAGCTCCGCATATCCAACTCACCTGTGTCACAGAGAAGGGTCCAAAAGACAAGGTTTCCTCTGCCAGAGGCCAGTAGCGCTCACATTTTTTCTGGTGGGTTGGAAGGAAAGCAAAGGGAGTTAGCTAAGATTCTGGGATAGTAATAGTATCTGCTTCCTTGAACCCATAATAATAATAATAGTAATAATAATCATCATCATCATCATCATCTTTATTTATACCCTGGCATCATCTCCCCAAGAGGACTTGGGGCGGCTTACATGAGGGCATGCCCAGCAATACAACAATGCAAATATACAACATAAAAATACAACAATAAAATATAAGAAAATAAGATAAAATACAAGAAACAGTATAAATAAACACATCTGAACAATATAAAATCACAATATTTGAACACAGAAAGTTGATCACAGTGGGCAGGGCCGGTTGCAAAGATTAAAAGTTTAAAACACTGGGTGAGAGAGCAGTGTAGTAATAATAATAATAATAATAATAATAATAATAATAATAATAATAATAATACTTTTTATTTGTAGACCACCCTATCTCCCCAAAGGGACTCAGGGCAGTTTCCAACACAGAAAGCTGTGATGAACAACACCAAGAGATTTCTCTGTCTTTAGAGTATCATCACTCCTCCATCAAGACTCACCTTCCCCATCTCCACTTCTCGGCATGCCATGACAATCACCTGCAGAAAAAGAACACTGTTGAGCAAGAACAATGGCTACATTTAATTTGTTCTCTCCATTGAGTCTAAAAAGTTGCTTTTTAAGAATAATTAGTTGTTATTCCCAATTATGTTTTTTCTATTGAAAAGTCACTGAGTTACTTGGTGTTAGTTTTGAGAAAAACCATCATAACGCTGTAAGTAGACATTGTCTAGAGTTTTTAATCCTTTAATTTCCATATTAAATTGGATAATTCCCATATTAAATTGGATAATTCCCAAAAGAAATCAGAACTTCAATTAGATCTAGTATTCACTTCATGAACATTTTTCTTATGTTGCATCATTTTTTTCTCCTTAGTTGGGATCTCTGTCCATTACCTTTCTTCATATTGTATTATATTCATAGCCACTGTAAGATTTTGTATGTTTTTTAAATTGTATTGCCTTTGAAAGCCTAAGGTACTTTGGGTCTCAAGTCTGAGAGAAAAGCAGTGTCATCATCGTCATCATCGTCATCATCATCATCATCATCATCATCATCATTTTCTTCAATTCCAAGACACACTCCCCCCCCCCCTTGTATAAAAATCTCTAAAAATTGTGTGTGTTTTAGAAGCACAGGTGCTTTTTCTTATATATAAATACAGGGTTTTTTTCCCATTGATAAAATTAGTGTGCATCTTACAATCGATGGTGTTTTAGAATTGAAGAAATACGGCCAGAATAACAAGGTTATGATGATGATGGTAATGCTTTTTTACATCCATTGCTGTTGTTGTGGACTTTCACATTGGCTCTGACCCATGGCTACCTTATCCCAGGAACAATTTATTGCCCTCTCAACCTTCATCTTAGGTTGAGAGATTATAACTTGCCCCAGGTCAGCTGATTGTTTCCATGAGTGAGTGAGGATTCATACCCAGGTTTCCTGGAAGTCTTGACTGATACTCAGGCCACCATTCCAATCTAGCCCTTAATTAGCTTCCTTCCTGGGGGAATCCTTCGTGGGCGGTCCAGGACCACTCGAACAACCACCATGTCAGACTACACAGAGAAGCCATTGAAATCCACAAGCATGTGGACAATTTCAACAGAAAGGAGAAAACCATGAAAATGAACAAAATCTGGCTACCAGTGTTAAAAAAACCTCTAAAATCAGGACAGTAAATAAAAAAACACTTAAAAAACAGGGGAATTCCAGACAGAAAGCAATCAGTCCAGCTAACACCACTCAACAAAGGATTCCCCCAGGCAGGAAGCAGCCAGTCTTTGAAGCTGCAAGGCCATTCAATGCTAGTCAAAGTGGCCAATTGCAACATTCACACCTCTCAAGCAGACAAGAGTTCTTTCTCCCACCCTGGACATTATTCCACAGAAATATAAACCCCATTTGCCCAGTTTCCAACAGACCCCTCAACCTCTGAGGATGCCTGCCATAGATGTGGGCGAAATGACAGAATCCTTCTGGAACATGGCCATACATTCAGAAAACTCACATCAACCCTATGACACCATAATTATACCCAGCCTGTAATGTCATTCTTGCTTCTTGAATTTGTTTTCGAATGCAATGTAGTCACTTCATTGTTATCAAAACATTACGGTAAATTAAAGAAGTATTTCGCTCTGGCTGCTCAGCTTACCTTCACCCTGTACTGCCAAACCATGCGCCAGAAGTCGATCACCGTATGTGGAAGTGGTCCTTGGGTTGCAATGTAGCACCTCTTGTTATCCACACCCTGGAAGGATGAGGCGAATTAAGAAATGACAAACACCAATCAGCACAGAATATGAATCGCATCTCCCACTGCAACTATGTTGACAAACTAAGGGCTTGTCTACACTGGCCCTATACATTGCAGGAAAGTCCCCAGATAAAAGAAAAGGTTGATGAGAGGTCCAAGACATGGATAAACCTGGGGACTACATCCACCTATTTTATCTGTACTCAATGGATGTAATATGCGTGTAATTGCAAGTAGTGTGGTCAGTCCTTAGAAGCAGTGGTATTGCTAGTCCAATATAAATATTGAACTCCCCCTAGAAACTTGCCTGATTGGGGGAAGGAATCTTATCTTGAAGTTTATGACCAAAGGTTAATCACATAGTTTTGAGGCGTATCATTTTTAAAAAACGGAGCCCCCGATGGTGCAATGGGTTAAACTCTTGTGCCGGCAGGACTGCTGACCAAAAGGTTGGCGGTTTGAATCTGGGGAGTGAGGTGAGCTCCCATCCGTCAGCTCCAGCTTTTCATGAGAGAAGCCTCCCACAGGATGGTAAAACATCCGGGCATCCCCTGGGCAACATCACTGCAGACGGCCAATTCTCTCACACCAAAAGCGACTTGCAGTTTCTCAAGTTGCTCCTGACATGAAAAAAATAAAAATATAATAATCCTCCTAAGTATGTGAGAAGAGGCCTGGGTGGTTATTTCCAGTCAAAGCGTATTGTGGGGAGATTTAAACCTTGTCCTCCTAGCTGAAATCCTGAGAAAAATCACATATGCTACTTCATACATTTTTGCCAACGGGAGGGTTTCTTCTGCAATATCAGTAGGGGATGTTGGATCATTTTTGTCCCTGGAAGTGAAATACACGATTAAGTAGAAAAACAGCCAACCAAGCGTTTTCTTCCCTTTCATGACACTTGAGATCTGCTGCTTGAGAGAGCTGTTCTTCTACCTGATAGGAAAGCCAGCTCTGAAATGATCTCAGCCTCCTGTTTGAATTAGGAACAATGGCATTCCAGTGTGCCTTTGGCAATGGGAAGTCTGAGAAGCATTGCTGTGCTCATCACGTAGATGTTGAAGCTCTGTTACCTGGATGAAGTTGGCATTGATATAATCTGTTTGTCCTTCTTCTGCCAGTAAGTTTAAAACCACTCGTGTCTGGTCATCTGTAAAAAAAACCCCACACACAATTAGAACAGATGTCCCCTAGTTTTGCGACAGATTATGAATTAGAGCACTACTGAAAACCAGAAATTGTCAGAATGTGGAACCTGATGTATATGTGTGTGTGTATATATCGTATATACTTGAGTATAAGCTGACCTGAATATAAGCCAAGGCACTTAATTTTACCGCAAAAAACTGGGTAAACATATTGATTTGAGTATAAGCTGAGAGTGGGAAATGCAGCCACTATTCATAAATTTTAAAATAAAAATAGATACCAATAAAATTACATTAATTGAGCATCAGTAGGTTAAATGTTTTTGAATATTTACCATTTTTCAAAGAAAAACTAGCTCTGTAAGTGGAAAAGGAGGGTCAACAAAAACAATATGGTATCAACAATACTTTTATAATAATAATAATAATAATAATAATAATAATAATAATAGAACTTCATTTGTATCCCAACCTATCTCCCCACGGGGACAGGCTGGCTTCCAACATAGTAACAAGCATTCTATGCCTATATAAATAATGCAGCTAGGTATGGATCTATAATTATATATACTAATTTCACATAGGCATTTCCTCCTGAAACGCTTGCAAATCCCCCCTCTCTCTCTATGTGCATTTCCCTCCCGCAATATTTGCAAACGCTATATATTTATATTCATATCTATCCACTTGCAAACACATGAGGGGAAAATTCATATATAAAAATAATGTATACATATATATACAGATATATAGGTACATTGAAATCTCTAGATATGTATATGTATATAGGATTTGCAAAGACCTGCAAACATATAAGGGGAAAATTCATATACAAAATTAATGTATACATATAGATAGATAGATAGATAGATAGATAGATAGATAGAGATATATAGGTACATAGGGATTGCAAAGGCTTGCGGAGGGAAATGTCTATATATCTTCCTGACTTGCAAGAGCATCTCTCCCCCTCCTTTTCCTTTTCAAAACATCCCCTTCTCTCTTTTCAAATAATAATAATAATAATAATAATAATAATAATAATAATAATAATAGATCTTGTAGATTTGCAAGATTTTCTCTCTTTTTCTTCCCCTTCCATCCATGCAATCCTTTTTTTTCTTCCTGACTTGCAAGGGCTTCTCTCCCTTTCCCTTTTCAAAACATTCCCTCCTCCTACTATTGCTACTACTATTACTTCTGTGTGTGTGTGTGCAAAAAAATGGGCAAAGTGAGAGGAAAAGAAAACACACGGTAAAGGGATGGGAAGAGAAATATATCAAATATTGCAAGCAATGGCTGGAAACAGCTCCTGAGCCTTGACCGCATTATATACCGAGGGAGGCTTTTTCATCCCCCCAAAAGGGCTGAAAAACTCAGCTTATATTTGAGTATATATGGTATATGCGATTTGTGATTGAAAAAGTGCAGAAACACAACAACAACAAAAAAGGAAAATGAGCAGATCACATACTGAATGTATGGATTCTGGTTGTAATTGAAAAGGATCAGAATAATGGATCTCCAAAAAGTGGTCCATTGAAAAGTGTAGCTTGCTATCGACCTTTGCAGCCCAAAAGACACTTGCATCTGTCAAGTAGGAAAGTTAGTACCGCTTATGCGGGGAGGCTCATTTAACTAATTTACGGTGCCATAAAAATCTCCAGCAAACATGCAAGAATGAGGAAGCACTTCATCAGTGTCACAAATGGACGGTGAAGCAACAGCTCCCCTAGTGACCAGAATACCCTAATCAAAAAGCTGGAATGTTAAGTAGCCTCTGTGTGTCTATCTATATATGTTGTGTGTCTATGGCATTGAATGTTTGCCATGTATATGTGCATTGTAATCTGCCCTGAGTCTCCTGCGGGGTGAGAAGGGCGGAATACAAATACTGTAAATAAATAAATAAATAAATAAATAGCCCTTTAAAAAGAAATAAATGCAAAATTATATTCTTACAACTCAACTGTCTGCCCCTATAACACTCCTAAACTCACAATTTACTTGATGGATTGAAGATATATATTTTTTGGCTCTTGGCCCATGAGGAGGAACCCCAGACTTTAAACCTAAGGAGTAAACCTTGAAATGAGGTCAACTGGCTGAAGATTTGGCTGGAAGAAGCAGCTCACCATTGGATGCAAGTCAAAAGACACCAGAGGGTGGAAAGGCTCAGAGCAGAGGAATGTGGTATGGCAACCTATTTCCCTGTGGGAGAAAATTAGCATGGAGAAGAAAGAGGGCCACCCTCGAGGCTGTGGATCACAGATTAAACCTGTCCCTGGGAAGGGCGCCCTGTTCCTTTCCTCCCTATCACTACCCTGCAAGACTGCCAACTCACACGGCAAGATGTCTTTGTAACGGTTCTTCTTGATATTCTCCTTGTTGCCACCAGCCTCTGTGGAAATGCTCTGCTGCTGCTGGAATGCTACAGCCCGGGCCTTGATTTCCTACCGAGAAAATGAATAATATTCATGTTAATTGGTCAAATATATGCTGACATTCTGTCTACCACTAATATCTAGCTTCCTAGCTGGCTGACCATATATCTATACTGCCATGTTATATGGGGCTCAGTTTCATCTTTTGCAACTATACAAGACTATACAATTGCAACTATACAAACCCTGCTGACCACAGAATCAACAGAGTCATCCTAGAAAATTCATAGATCTATAGTAATAGTAGTAGTAGTAGTAGTAATAATAATATTTATTATTTCTATTCCGCCTCATCTCCCCGAAAGGACTCGGGGCAGCTCACAATAAAACTAAAACACAATAAACAATATAAGCAACGTAAATAACAAGTTAATAAAAGAAAACAAAGAAACAAAACAAACAACAAACAGGAAAAATGAAACACATTTAAAACATAGAAGTTCCAATAGATTAAATAAGTTAAGTAAAAAACCAAAGTGCCCGAGTGCACAAGTTGCCATTTAAATATAGAACTAAACATGTTTCATTATTTTTGAATGTATATTTTTCTGATTGTATATTAGATTGTTTGTGTCAAATAATTAAGAAAATATTTTTTTAAAACCATGTTGTTTGTAAAAACTTTGAAAATTCCCCAAAAATCTGTGGATTAGTGAAACGTTCCGAAACTTGATGGGCTAACAGTGATAAATGTGTTCTGTAATTGTAGCAAGTTTTGTGCCAATAGTTCTAACAATGAGGGATAAAGCTGCCCCTAAATTTCCACCATTGGCACAATTAATTAACAAAAAATTACAAAAGAGTAGTTAACTTGTTATAGTTACGATACAGACCCATACAATTTCATAAACATTTTAGAAATGATTCATAACTGGTATTGAAACATTTTTTCATTGATTGCACAGGCCTATGAAATACAGTATCTTGTTGTATCTTGTTGAATATGAAAAGATGCAGGTACCAGTTCCTTGAATACTGGAGTTGCTGTGTATCTATCTCTCTGTCTGTTTGTCCGTCCGTCTATCTAACCTCACTTGTAGTAGGCTTGTTGTTTACATTTCAGTAGCATGCTCAGCTATATTTGATACTTAATATGTCATACGTAATGACATCATCAGAGCTTGTCCCCGTGACATCACCAAGACTCATTCAGGTATCATAAAAAGCTGCTCCCTAGTCTCCACCTGTGGTCTTGAAATTTAACAACACATTGCTAACCTATTACCCCAGTAGTGATTAATACCTTTCTTATAACCTAAAGACGCCTGATCCCATTGGTTCTTGGAGGTTAAACGGGCTTAGCTCTGGTTAGCACTGGATGGGAAACTACCAAGAATATCACATGTTGTTAAGCAATATTTCAGAGGAAGGAACTGGAAAAACCACCTCTGAGTATTCCTTTGGCATTCAGGAAGTCATAATATATTAAGAGATAACTTGAAGGCCCATATGCACATACACACAGAAGGAAATGAGAAATACAATATAAGAATAGATGGGAATAGGAGGAATCCTTGATTGTATTTCTATTACTGTTGGAGAGGGGAAGGGGATTCAGTCTAAACCCTAAAATATACTTGATGATATTCGTGGAAGGTTGTTTACTCGAACGGATTGCGCACCCCTTATCTGGAAACTCCAAAATGGGAAATTGTCCACATAGGTGGGCTGAGACAGTGACACCTTTGCTTTTAGATGTCTCTCTGTACCCAAATGCTTAATGCAAAAAAAAACCAAAAACAAACATTACTTTTTTTTTTAACAAAATTACCTTCAGGCTGTGTGTATATGATGTACATGAAACAGAAAATAATTTCATGTTTGGGCTTGGGTTCCATCTCCAAGATGAATGTATGTATATGCAAATACAGGTATCCCAAAATGCAATAATAATAATAAAATAAAATAATAAAATAAAATCCAAGATTCAAAACACTTCTGATCCCAAACATTTCAGATAAGGGATATGGAACCTGAACCTACAAGACAGTTTTTTTCTGGATGAGAAGGAGCGTGAGAGCAAAACAGAACTGCTTGTCGTTCTCTACAGCTTCTGCAATTAAACTGGTTTGCAGTTGATTTCCATGAGCTAGTTGTTCTTGCCCAGGCTTTCTCAGGAATTACTGAATTGCAAAGATGCATAATAGGACACCAGCAAATGCCTGTAATGTATTTTTCCCAATGCACAATGGAATTCAGATTGGGACAGATGTGATATGGGCATCAACATAGAATCATAGAGTTGGAAGAGACCTCGTGGGCCATCGAGTCCAACCCTCTGCCAAGAAGCAGGAAAATCGCATTCAAAGCACCCCTGACAGATGACTATCTGGCCTCTGTTTAAAAGCCTCCAAAGAAGGAGCCTCCACCACACTCTGGGGCAGAGAGTTCCACTGCTGAACAGCTCTCACAGTTAGGAAGTTCTGCCTCATGTTCAGATGGAATCTCCTTTCCTGTAGTTTGACGCCATTGTTCTGCATCCTAGTCTCCAGAGCAACAGAAAACAAGCCTGCCCCCTCCTCCCTATGACTTCCCCTCACATACTTATGCATGGCCCTCATCACGTCTCCTCCCAGCTTTCTCGTCTTCAGGCTAAACATGCCCAACTCTAAGCTGCTCCTCACAGGGCTTGTTCTCCAGACCCTTGATCATTTTAATCCTCCTCTGGACACATTCCAGCTTGTCAACATCTCCCTTCAATTGCGGTGTCCAATTGGACACTTTTTCTATCATTTCCTTTACTAGATATGGACATAGCACAACAGCAAAATTCAAATTCCCACAGGTATAATTCAGTTTATGAAGATAAATCCCCAACAAGATTCCAGCTATTTTTTTTCAACTTTCACTTCCAATCTTTGTGGAATCTCACCACCTCCTCTTAAGTATATTTTGAAATAACATATTCTAAAGTATGTCACAGAAGTTTCATCTGACTCTGCAAAGATCATGGGATCTGGTTTCCCTGGTCTACACTGCTTCTTTCTTTATGCAAAACAGGTTAGAGCACTGTGCAAATTCTCCACCTAGAACCGTGATCCCCACCCAAGGTTTCACCTGGCCATGTGTGGTGTTATGTAACACAGACCTGTCCTTGAAGTCAGCTGTACCAAAGAAAAGGATGGTAGCACACAATGTTGAGATTTGTGTAAGATTAGAATTGGAGTAGGCAGGGTGAAAGCAGGATTCATGGCCTGGAGTGTGTATATGTGCATAAGTGAAAGGCAAATAGCATTTGGAAACGTTGATACCGAGGGTGTTGGGAGCATGTGGAGAGGAGTAGGAGAAGGGGCTCTTAAGCAGAATAGAATTCCCAAATTATATAATTATGGAATTTGGAGAAAATTCAAAGATGATTTAGGCCAGTGTTACTCAAGCCATCTGATTTGGGATCGACAATTGCTTTCAAAAAATACTGTGATTTATTTTATAGAAACTCCCAGGGAGCTTGTGGACTATTGCTGATCAATAGACCACTCTTTAAGTATAATAGATCTAGACCACAGTCTGAGGCTATAAATTTATTAATGTTTGACACTATTTTTGTCAGCAGCATGAATTAATTTTTAAAATATTTATTGCACTTGCACTATAGTTAACTWCTTGTCACATCGTTCTGAAAAAAAATCTAAATTATATTACCTGTATATTCCGGCATATAAAACGRCTGGGCGTATAAGACGACCCCCAACTTTWCCAGTTAAAATATAGAGTTTGGGATATATTCACCATATAAGACTACCCCTCTTCCAATGAACACCAAATAAAAATTTAAAAAGCATCAGATTTGATTTCAATATGGTAATTTTCCTATTACTGTACCTCCTCCTCTGCCTCTCAGATCTCGCACATGCACTGCTTCACTGCAGTCTTCAGGAGCAAGATCTGAGAGGCAGAGGAGGAGGTACGGTAATAGGATACAAGGGCGGGCCAGACAGGTAAAATAGGTGTGTTTTTCTGGGCCCAGAGCCACTCTATCTCTTTTTTCCATACCCCGGGCACCCCGGACACCTGCAGCTTGCTCCTCCCTTCAATTATGCCTTCCCGGTGAGGCRCCCTTCACTCCACCATCGGGACCGCATTAAGTCCACAAATCCTGATGAATGGATTTTCTTCTAYTGTACTTGTACAGTGTCGCCCTTAATGCTTTCATACAGTCGCTCCATATGACAGGGATGCGGCCACTGCCATTTTTATCTCCTCCCACCATATGCAGCAACCACAGATTCTCCAATCCGATTGGAAGTTTCAGCACCTGCTCTATAAGACTACTCCCGCGTATAAGACAACCCCTGACTTTTGAGAAGATTTTCATGGGTTAAAAAGTAGTCTTATACACCAGAATATACGGTACATACATATCACAGAGCCCCCAATGGCACAGCAGTTTTGCATTTTCGGTTAACATGTTCACCAACTGATTTTTTACATGCCCACACACAGGAGGCAACTTTTGTAGCACCTCATAGTTGTTTCTTCCTAGGCGAATGATGCCCAACTGATTAGCACTTTCTGGTTCCAGTCCATAAACATCAAAACCAGGGTTCAGTTTGTGTCCAGTTTTCAAACTATTGGGAAGGGTAGTATAGAGAAGCCCTTGTTCTGGAATCGAAGCCTTTACCACCCCATCATGGAAACAGACAATTATCTTCATCTCACCTATAACAACATCTCAAGGCCTCCAGCCAGCAGGTTTGGAGGGATGAACTCAACTCTTTAAATATATACTCGGAAGCAAGAACAACAATACAGCCCATTGGAAGTAAGAGAAAAAGGCGAGCAGCCCAATAACTGAATCAGCATTTGATTCATAGGCTTGTAGATTTTATTAAAGTCAGGGGAAGCTGGTGAGAAAGAAACTGCATCAGGTTTTGTTTTGCATGTGTGTCTGCGTGTGCAACTTTGTTGCATGCTTTACTTCCTTTTCCTGCTTCTCCCCATTTGGCTTAATTACCTGTTATTTGGTCAGGACTTGCCTCGCTTTTGAAAGAAAGCATTTATTTATTTAA